TAATGCGTTTGACTTAGCAATTCAACTCGCTCTCCAGAATCCATTAGCGGGGGCGTGTTGCAAACAAGCTGCTGCAATCTCTGTTGTCAAACACGCCGCTGTGCACCTTTCGCAAGGCTTCATAATTAATACACGCACGTTACCCCAAAATTAAGCCGCCGCAAAATAAATTAATATTTTACTGACGTTTTGAGCGCGTTGCTGTGTTGTCGCTCCCCTCGGCGTCGGAGTTCAACAGCTAGGGGTGTGGAGGTATCGCGTTTCATCGTCATTACTCCACCGTGCGTGCGTGTGTGCGGCCTTTTCTCAGCCGCTCATTTCACCTTGTTTGTGTTGACCCTCTCGCCTCTTCTTCTTTTTTCAAAGCGACTTTGCCGGATTTGGGTCGCGTTTTCCTCTTTATTGCACAAGAAGAAGACAGAAAGGGCTGAGAAAAAGCAGAAAGTAGCCCAAGCGCTTGAGCTCTGATTGCAAGTACAGTCGAAGATCTTGCAAACCTTTTCGAGCCGTTTCGTTCACTCTAATATTTCTTCTGCTTCCACCGTTGAGCAAATAGTTTTTGCTAGCAGGGATTACGATCCTTGAATCTAACAATGGTGGAAGAAAGGCGGGGAAAAGAGCAGAGTTATCAATTTATATAAAAAAAAAGGAAAAATGCTCAATTATTAAACTTCTGCAAAAGGATTTCATTTTTTTCCATCCATTTAAACAGAAATTTAAGAAATCCAAGCGGCTTCAACATATCAAATAAACGTTTTTTTGCAAGTTTGTTTGCAAAATTTATAAATTTATGATGAATATCTTCAATAATTTTTATAAGACGTTTTTGCTCGAATAAACTTTCTTACAACAATAATAACTAATTTTAGCGATTATTGACAATTTTATGTCCTATTGTTGTACAGACTTGATTTGATTGTGCCAAAAAGGAATCCTTAATTGCTAAAGATATGAAAATTTATTAATATTACTGTTTATTTTACCAATTTTTCCTAGATATTTTACCCTTGAAAAATATGCAATTGGTCTTTTGTTACAAAAATAATTACAGAAATTTCAATGGACAAACTTTTGGTGTTTATAATTCCTGGAATTTTAAAGAAAAATTAGTAATTGTGTGTTGAAATTTGCAGAGTTTTCCTATTTTTCTAACCATTTATTTTAAAAGCAGACATTTTTCAATGGAATTGAAACAAGCTGCAAGAAAAGCAATATTCAATTTTTAACAGAAACCACTATTTATAACCGGAATGAAATTTTATCTAACCACTTGGAGATAAAATTTAATCTGCGCTGTATACAGAGCGAAATCGGCAAAGTTTGGCTCGAATATGAACGGGTGGTGGTGCCAAAAGTCAGACAAGGATGACTCTCGCCTGTCGCATTATTTGGCTGCTAATGAGGGAAAACAGGTCGGTGGGTCCATTGAGACGCGACTGCACGGGGAACAAGGCTGGCTGCTCGCTCGCCGAGTGAGTCAGAGTGAGAGAGAGAGCCCCAGTGAAGAGGCCGACCTCGCCCACGCCGCTATTGATTGCTAGCACCGCGTGTTCGCCGCCAGACTACTCTCTCCGCCGCTTCGGCTTTTACACTCTTTTTTTTGCGGCCCCATTGAGATGCAATTCGCCCGTCCGACCGACCATCTCACGAAAGTCGTTAATTTCCAGCAGACCAAATTCCCGCAGCTCCCCCTCAACCTCCAGAGCCGTTTTGTGCTTCTCTGGCCCAATTATTTCGCTCTCGCGACTCGCAGGTGCACACCGTGATGGGCGTGACGCTTCGCGCAGGAAAAACTGTCGGCGGATGCGACTTGCTTCTTGATGCTTTCCGCCCTCGGTCTCGAATCACGTGCGGCGGAAAATCTGATTTTCGCACCGTGGCACTTTTTTATACGCTGAAGTTTCAAAAGTTGTAAAAAGGTCACAGTTGCAACTTTGGGCCAATATTTTTCCTTGCTGATTGGGAGATAAATTTGTTTGTGGCTCAGTTTCACAATCTAAGCTATAATAATCTTTTTTTTAAACAATCTAAATTTTATTGTCTTGTGTGTACACATTGATTTACACAGAATTAATTAATTTTTAACTACAAAAAACTCTAAATTGAAGGGGGTGAACCAAAGACTAATTTTTCTGTGGGGGCGAATATTAAAAAATATCAATTCTCTTATGTTTTTACTTTCAATGACTTCATATTACATGTTAAACAGAAAGAAAAAAAGGGAAGAACCTTTATTAATTCATGAATTTCTTGTCAATAACTGATAAACTAATAATTTTGTTTCTTTTTGTTTCAGGTAAGTCATCCATTTTGAATTTCCTGAGTGGCAGTGCACTTGTTTTCGTAAGTTTATATCTTTGCTTGTAAATGCAGACTGTTTTACTGTAGAAATTTACCGCGTTGTAAATCAAGATAAAGACTAATTAGCAATTCAAGCACTATTTCCTTGTTTGTACTTGTTTTGCTGGGAAATGACTGGCATGCGGTTTTTCGTGGAAATCCACTTATCAGACTGAATCATAATGATGTGCGACAGGCAGATTCCAATCTAGAATAATTCGTGGCGCAGCACCTGTACAAAGAATCGAAAGCCAATAAACCGATCACTGGCGTGGGCACACAGAAAGCCATTAAATTGAAATTAATTCTCAGCGCCGCGCCGCTTTTCTATTATCCAAGCTCGGAAGTTGCTGATGGAGGGGCGATGGCCTCGATTCGCCAGCGACTAGATTAAAATTGCAGATTACAAGTGGCATGATAGGAAATTACTTGCTAGATTATATCATACAAATAAGTGCTTGAAAATAGCAAAGGTAAAAATTTTAAATTTACTTATATTGTTAGTCACAAAATTTATTGTTACAATGAATAAAAATTCTAATTGATTAAATTTTTAAATGATTTCAATTGAGACAACTGTTTGTATTTTTAATATTGGGCATTCTTTTATGAGGGAAAAATTCCAAAAATTAAAACACTATTTCTATTCATTACTTATATATTTATCCAATAATATGCCAAATCTTGACGCTAATAGTTCAATTAGCAAGAAAGCTTTCGTTTGTGTGATGCCAAGAGACCACTTTCGGATCTGAATACACACTCCACTCTCATTACCGTTTGCTTTGGAACGAAGAACAAAAACGTGGAAGATCCTCTGGCGGTGCGTAAGTGCGCGCGTCAACATTGTTATTGTCGAAGGAAACGGGAAAACGCGCGCTTGCCATTTTGGGCAACGTGTCTCTTTCTTGGGCTCGCTTTTAAAATCCTCAACAAGTGGCTTGTATGTATGTCAAGTAACACACAAGAGATCGGCCTGATAATAAAACCGACACATGAGGGCAATCTGGTAGGCGCACAGCGGCTGTGATTCAATTAAACGGCGATTCAATCGACCAAACGGCCTCCGACTGAAGATGCTGCCAGACTTCTTTGATCAGAAGTTCCTTGAAACACTAACAAGAAAGGCAGACTGAGAGACGAGCAGTCCTTCCTTTCAATTGTTTGATTGTGCGTGTGTGCGCACAGGAAATCGACAAACAAGGGAAATTCCCTTCCAAAGGATATTAGACTTGCGAAGCAATTGTCCTCAAACAATGTTCTTTGCTCGATAGCAACCAACAAACAACCGCTTTCCGATGAGATAATGGGAATCACTATGATTTTATTTATTTTTCAACGACCAAAATAAAAAGAATAAACAAGATTATTATTATTAAGGTTTTATATAAATTTTATTTTTATTCAAATACATAATTTCAGATGCATTGGATGAAAAACCAATAAATAATTTATTATTTTCTTAGAAAATTCAAAATCAATTTCTCTATTTCATGGAAAAAATATGTTGTTTCCGAAGAAAAAACATTATTTGAATATTGTTTAGAGTTTTAGCATTGCTTCAAAATATTTTACAATGTTCTAAATTATTATATAATTAATTTTGTTAATTAAGTAAAAATATTATTTCATTTTCACTCTATGAAATTGCCTATGCCTAATCTTTCATTTTTCTACAAATTCACGTTAGTCGCCACTTCGTAACGCAAGTGACGTATATTTAAGGTAATAAGTTGCTCGCAGCTGGGATGGAAAAACTGCGAAAACGAGTCACACTTTGCATAATGGAAGCAGACGGAGCGGAAAGAGATGTTATTAGCCTCGCTTGGAGAAACTTGCGCGCCACACAATGCTCCATTTGCGCTTGGCAAACGTCTATTTCAGCGCTAGACGTTAGTTTGCCTGCCTAAAGTGCTGATGTAGGATTGATTACGGCTCGGAAATGATCTTGCCGAGCCGGCCGTTTTGTCAAGTTTCGCACACACTTGATGTGCTGACGCGGTAGCTGAGAGAGGGAGCGAGACTGTTTGCCGAGAAGACGGGGGAGGCTTTTTGCACCTCGCTGCCTTTCTCGATCCGAGCGTTGCGGAATTTAATTTGATTGCAGTTCATCCGTCAATATCGCAGTTCCTCCGGCTGCAACGCTTTTTTCACCCGCCTGCGAATTTCATTCGATTTTCGCCTACCATCTTTCGCACTTTTCTCCCTCAACCGCCCGCCCGCTCACTTGCAAGGTGGCAATGGGTTCATTGGCGCTCCAAGTGGTGGCGCCTCGCGCCAGGCCAACGGCCCCATCGTGAGCACCGTCCGCAACCCCTCCATAGATGGCATCCCTATTTTTTTTAAACGGATTTCCAACAGTACAACATGCGGCGAAAGTTTTCATTTTTAACATGTGCCTCAATTCTATTTATGTATATTTTTTTTATTTGTAAAAAAATTCAAACATTAAAAAGATTTTTAGTTAATTTAAATTGTTAAAATTTACGTACAAAATTCAAATTTAAAAAATAAAATTAGTAAAGTTTCTTTTCTTCCCTAAAAAATGTAATTTTTTCCTCTTCAAAACTTCATTGCCTCATTAAAGATATCAAATATTATCAAATTTACAACTTTCGAAGGCCTAGTTTGAGAATAGCTTGTTGTGAGTTGAGATGAGATTGTTGAAATGAGATTTATACAGAGTACATTATCTATTTTACTAGTAATAATAAAGGTAAATAATAATATAAAGGATATTGTTTGAAATACTTCTTTAGAATTTTTATGAAATTTAAAAAAAAAACTGGCATTTATAATTCATAAACAAATTTCATGATATTTTAAGTATATTTTCCAACTGTTACATATTATTTTACATTTTAAAAATAATCAATTGTTGGGAAGGTACATTGATTTGTTGGAAAAAACAGAACCAATACTAGCAATAACTTTGCTGAAACTTTTGAGATAAATAACCCAACGGGCTGCAGTAAAACTAAAGTTCCTTTTTTTTCATTTTTAGTTATATAACAAGTTTTCAGCAACCTTCGTCATTAAAATAGCATTAAACTTCAAGTGTAATAGTCGGATCTGAGATCACCTCGCAAATGAACCTTTTTCTTGCATAACACGCATAGTCGTTCCAGTACAAGTTGTCCCAGAAGTGATGAAGACAGTGCTCTACATTGAAGTAATTGTCGGGCTTTAGGCGCGGGCCATAATTTGTGAAGGGGCCAATCAATGCCCCAGTTGTGGCCCAGTAGAAGGTGTCCTCGATGCCCAAATCAGTGCCACTTATCCACACATAGCTATTCATGCCGGATCGCTCTGCTCAAAATCCGAAACTTTGTCACAACAGTGAAATATTTTAAAGGATAGATTTCTTACTGATCACAGTGACAACGTCTGCGTCCTTCTCAGGAGTGTCTGGCGTGACTAACTGCATGCCCAGCCGCTCGCAAATGTCCATCGCCTCAAACCAAGTCACCTTTTTGACAGGTGAAAAATTACATTTTTTAATGTCACAAGATGATCTAAAAGTACCGTTTGGTTGCTGAGGAGGTACGAGCCCGTTGAAAGGGTAATCAGTCGATTGGAAAGAAAATCTGGCATGGATCGCCGACCTAATGGTCTCCTGCCAGTCAACGGCTGTATATTAATAATGAAGGGAACGTTAAGGTACGTTAAGGTATAAATTAATTTTTGGTCGTAAAACTCGTACTTGAACTACTCTTTGTTCTGGGTTTTTGGTGTACGCAGACAGAGATGGTTCAACAGCCAATGCCAGCAGCATAAACACCTCAAGAAATTTAAAACGCTGCATGGCTTCAATTAGGCATCCTAAGAAAGAAATCTTAAAATGAACAAATTATATAATTAACAATATGAGGCAAAAATTCGTTAAAGTCACTCAATCTTTCAGACTTTAATGTGTTTATTGATAAAAAATTGGATCTCTGTCTCTCATACAGAAACAAATAAACAATAGGGGTATTTAGTAGTAATTAACAAGCAAGTAGTGCGACTCAATTTTTCAATTGAAAATGTAGCTATTTAAATAATCAGATTTCTTCAGGCGCGGAGCTTACCAATCAGGCTGGTGAGATGTGCTGGGAATTTATGCGTATCTTGAGCCGTGGCTTTTTATATAAGCACAGGAGCAAAGCCACATAAACCATATTCATAATTAGCATAATCACATTGGTTTTCAATTAAGAAAAATTTTATCAGAGGTGCCTGTGGTATTTGACCGCTATAATGCCACATGCCGCTAATAAACAAAAGTGTTTTTATTTACTTTTTAATCTTGCTATGTGGTACACCAATAAACTTGAGTTTCAGCTAATGCAATCTTGCACGATTTTAATTTCTAATTACAATTCAATTAATGCCAGAATTCGTCAAAAATTTCAACCGTCATAGTTAGTTCCTTTACTATAATAATTTTATAATGGTATGTCATATTTATGCAAACTAAAAAGTAAAAATGGGAAGAGAAGGGAAAGAGACGGTGCTCCATCTTGCAACAGATGTAAACATGGCGCATGAAAATGTTGCAAATTAATGAAATTCCCTCGCACATGGCTGCGAGTGGGTTGGCAGAAGAATGCGTGCCGCATAAAAAATGCAGGGCACAGCAAAAAGCAGGGTGAGGAGTGAGAGATAAAAAGCAGAAAGAGTTGCTGCGGCTCGCTGCCTTTATTGATTTTATAATTACTCTTTTGACGACAGCGATGTAGGAAGGAAGGAAGGAGGCCGGCTGGCAGATCGAATGTTTAGAGTAACACATTGTGTTGCATTCAGATGGATGACATTCATAACCAATTTTGTTGATATGCAAATATTTTGCATAATTTATTAAGAAACAATAAGGATGCAAAATTAAAATTTAAATAAAAATCAACGAAAGACACAAAATAAATAAACTATAAATTTATGGGTCAAAATGCCATCCATTCTAGCATGAAATTTCTAAAATTTGTTCTTGCTGCTGTGACCACCAGTGTGAAAATAAAATAAAAACCTTCGGGGTGTCCAAATGCAAAACAGACGCGGCCGACCCAGAGCAAAAGTTAAGTTTCAAAGCAAGCATCGGGACGGAAAAAGCGTTTCGCACGCATTGGCGCGGAATCTAACCCGCACACCGCCGGACTCGTGTTTATTTTCCTGTGTGCGCTGACCTTTGTTGCGAAATTTCCAGCCGAGAGTGCTGCCTGTGTAATGGGCCTCGCAAAACTTTTATGTAATATTTCTCGCGTGCGGATTAAAAGTCACTGTCGTAATGCATGCTCGGAGTCTCTGCTGCTCGTCTGTCGGTCACGTGCAAAATTTCAAATCCCTCGGGCGCTATTGCGGCTCATTTGATAGTTGGCTCACGTTTGTGCAGTTGATGATCCTCCCTTTCCGACGGGCCCGGTCACACCTGCCTACTTATTTTTCCACCTCAATCGCCGCTGCCAATTCCTATGACGGCCGCACATCCAGACAGTTTATCATCCAATTAAGAGACAAGACGACTTCATTAAGAGTTTCCTGAAAAAAATCCTTCCAGGTGTAAAAATCTCCAGGGTGATAAAACAGAGGCGTGATTGAAATTCCGAATGGAAGTCCTTGCTAATCTCGCGACTTTCCTCTTAATTGACAAATTCGCTCCACTCAACCTTAATTCCTCCAGAGATAGGCTGGGCGGCGCTGAGTAATGAGACTTCTTCGCTCCAACGCTTGAAAATCAATAAGGGCCGTTGTGTTTGGGATGAAAATGATTGAATCTCCTTTACATCGCTGCCTGTCTTCGAGTTGATTCAACCTCTTAGCAAAATAATGCGTTTTCTTCTCCGCCGGGGAAAAATAATATCGAAAAAAAGACGTGGGAAATAAATGGCCTGTTTTCTCCTTCATTCTAAAAAGCTTCTCTCATCGAAGAAGAAAAAGAAGGTCTTTTATCAATCAGCACACGGAAATCGGCGTGCAACTTGGTGGCAGTTAAATATGTTGCCGGTCTTTCTTTTCCACTTTTATCAAGATGTGCGTTTTTTCGCCCCTACTTGGCAACTTGGCTGCGAGACAATGGCTCCGTTAATGAACGCTATCCAAGCAATCGCGAGCCACATTGTAGGTGACAGTCTAATTTAAAACGCACTGGTCTTGCTCTTATAATTTCGAGGGGCCTTAATTTCGTACTTGAGGGAACTAAACGTTTGGCTGAACGTCGCCAAGTGACAGAAACAGAGTCGTTATTCGCAAGATTATTCTGGAGAGCGAGCTGAAAGAAAGATTTTCACAGAAAATGTGGGCATCTTCTGAAATTCAAATTTTTATGAGACAAGTGAGATAGAAGTGTTGAGAAAATTAAAAACAATTTTACTTTTCAATTATTACTTTTAAATCATAGTTCAGTTAATTAGTAAAAACTATAAAGTGACTAGTAATTTGTAAAGATATTGTGCTTTACACCATTTCAGGCTTCAAGTTCTCAAATTATCCTCATTGTAAAATTTAAAAATCATTCAGAAACGGTGTTTGCAGCGATACAGAAATTTCCCCGCTGTCGCGCATGAATTGCATTCCAAGCAAGCGTGCCTTATGCGCGCCGACGAAGTAGAAGAAGCAGAAAAGCAATCAATCGATGGATTGGAGCCGCGAAGGGAAAGAGTGACTGCTTTGCTGCTCGTTTTGCAGCCAGAGCAGCGCGATCCAGTTTCAAACCGCCGTTAAAATCGAGCTGACGCGCGTGTTTATTTGTGCCGAGGCGTACATATATTCTCGGTAGAACAATAAAAGCGCGAGACAAAAGGAGCACATAAAGCCAGCGGGGGAGAAGAATGGCGAGAGCCGCGGGAAGAAAGAAAGTGCAAGCAGAATTTGTGCTCAGGAAAGTCTTCGTTCGTTTTGCTGATGTGCGTGAGATAAATCGGATAACCACATACAGAATTTCAGTCCGTATAGGAGGAGGTTCCTGTCGTTTTATTTTTTAAAATTTTTTTATTATTATTTTTTAGGAAAAAATTTATGGGTGAAGCATTGAATTTGAGAAACCGTATTTTATTTATTTTTTTTTTTTTGCCTGCGATCAACAGGTACTATTTCATTAAATTAATATTTAGTGATTTCTGCGCTGTCAGAAAATGTTGTTAAGCAAATAAATCCAATTTCAGGAAAAAATTAACGACAAATCAAATATTCCCGACGCAGCACCGTTCGTTGCTGAAAGTCTCGTCTGCGCCCAAATCAATTACCTCCCAAAATTCAACGCGAGAGTGCCGAAATTAAATTAGAAATCGCTCGCTGTCGTCGCCCACCATTGATTTATTCTCTGGCGTCAAAAATGACTAAAGGCTGCGAAAAGTGCGTTAATCGAAATATACGACGGTGCTCTCTAAAGGGGCGCCTATGCATTATTTAGACCTTTGTGTGATTAATGAGCGGCAGGTCGGTCGGCCATCCATCTTTGCCCACTTGATGAGCGTCCATCTTGTTCCGGCCATGCATAATCAATGCCGCTGCAGCTAATTAAGCAGCCCAGGAGTGCATTTTTGCCCTGAACCGTCCGACCCGCATCGATCCCTCGCTGGCAGCTCGATTCTGCTCCAATTGCTATCGCATATTCTGTGCCTGCCTAACGAAAAGGAGGCGTGATTTATAGTGCAACGTTTGAGACCTCGCGTTTCCCAACGTGAAAAATGGGATGCGTTCTTGGGACAGAAAAGTGCTATTTCGGCGATACTTGCGCTGAAAAATGACCCGGCGCGGTCAGAAAAGAAAGTCGAACCAGAGAAAACACTTAAGCCCAGGTTACCCAAAAATGAAAATACTGTGCTCAAAAATATATGAAAAATATCAGGAGAAAGTTTATAAGGAGAAACTAGCTAGAGGTATAGACTATAAAGTAAGAAAAGTATTGCAGTTTTGCGTTGATTGATAAAATTAAACTTGCCAATATTGTAGAATTTCCACATTACTGAAGTGTTAAACGTTTGAATTTATTTAATTCTTAAAATGAAATCTGCCAGAAAAAGAAGAACAAAATCTTCAACATAATTGAAAAATTTGTTCCTTTTTTCTGTTAACCCAATTATTTGTTAATTTCCAAGAATAATATATTTTCAAATATAATTGAATCAAAATTGCTGAAAAGTTTTTCGTCTGAAAGAGGAAAAGTTTAAACAGGCTATTTTTAAGAACTAAATAAATTTGATATAATATTTAAAAATCGAAGTATATTTATAACCCTTTATTTTAGGTATAATAATTAAAGCAAAAATTATTCACAATTTTAGACATAACGTTAACGTCAACCCAAGGGAAAAGTGAAAAGTGACTTTGGCAACAAAAAGTGTCCTAACGTGAAGCATCACTGCTGTGGCGCAGCGCGTAGCAAACATGGCGATATCCGCGAAACTGTCTGCGACACCTGTTTCCCCAGAGGCAGGTTTCCCATTCGCGAACAATGCCTCGTTCGCTTCATTCATTGGGGCAAAAAAGCACTACATCAATCAAGAGCCGCGCACCAACAAAAGGAAGTCCTGCTCGTTCGCCTCCTCGCGGGTCTGGAGCTGAATAGGCCAGCATTTTGTCTCTGCGCAGCACTGGCAGGCTTTTTGCCCAACTGCCGAGTCGGGCATGTTGCATACCCACCAATCGAATGCTAATTGCGATCCGCTCTCGCTGCCCGCTGGCTCATAAAAGGCAATCTGTTTGCAACCAATATCGGCTGCGGTTGTTCTTGTGTGCGTTTAATTATACGCTTCTCTCTGCAGCGGTTCAATTATTCAGTGACCTCCTAGCTCTTTTGTGCCCTTTCAGACCTGTTAATTGGCTCGTGAGTCAAAGTTTTCGCCAACTTTGCTCAACGCCTTTTTTCTTTCTTTGCCCAAACGACTCGTTTGAAAAAGAAGCTGCATAATTGATCGAAATGTAAAGTTCCCGACTGCCTGTCGTTTGTAAATTGAATGCAATTGACGCGCTCGTGCGCGTAAGATCGATCTTTTCAACACTAGATTGCGTGTCCTAAAAGACTGAGTGCTTTTTTCTCATATTGAATACACAAATAGAATCTGACTGAGATTCAAGAGCCACTCGTGAACATTTGTCAACTCTACGGGTCGATCAATATAAAAGG